TCACACTCCATTTCTAAACGCACTCCAGGATGAGTCCGAAATAAGTGAGCATTTTGTTATGATAGATAGAGTACCAATAGGACAATCACTCTTTGCATAAGTACATGTGTCCTCAATCGTCTCGTTAAGAAAATACAGGGTGTTGAGATTTTCGGAAAATTTAGACTTGTTGCCTAGATTCAAAATGCCTTTAGCGATTTTGTTCAAATTTTCAGAGAGAGTTTTTCAAGAGTCTTTCTAAAAAATACGTTTGAGTTCCACTTTTCCAGGACCGGAGCTAGAGCGACTCTTATTTTTTCAACAGAGTTGTGTATCCAACAACAAGAATTTCCAAACAATACATTGATTTTTATTTTTTATCTCGTGACGTTTAACATAGAACAAGAAAAACTCGGGATACCGTTTTTGTGGGAAATTAGGCAATGCATCAAAAAATAATTTTCAATTTGTCGAAAACCCTAGGGGCGTACCAATTTTTTCTTCTAAAAACATATCGGTTTATTAGGCAATTTTTCGCGAGGATAAGCAAGTATAGTCGAGTATGCTGGGTAATGTGATGTGTCAATTGTGTCATACTTCCCTACTCCCTCTCCATCAAATTCTGGGCCTGCGAGTGACGTCACTATCGGTAGCTTATAATCCGTGCGTTCGGTATTTTGATCTGAGTTCCCGTGCTTGAATTTACCGTTCGTTTATTTTAAAAGTGTACTCGGTGCAGGCTCATTCGCGTTCGTTTATTAAAATTTCGGGCACTCTGATACAGCGTTCAACTGCTCTGTTCGCTCGCTGGTCACGTGATTTGGCTCCGCTTTGCACGCTCTACTCTTTGAGCACAATACCGAAGGCAAGGAATGATGACGTCAACCGCAGATCTCGATGAAATGCTTGCAATTCAAGCTGTGCTAGTCAGTTAATTTATCCGTCGATTTCAAATGTAGAAAAGGTGATTTTCGGTCTATTCTCTCAGAAGAAATTGAGTGTTCTTGATCCTCGATTATCCCAGAATTTGATGGTGGGGGAGTATGACACAATTAACACATCACATAACCCAGCATACTCGATTATGCTTGATTATCTTAGCGAAAAATTGTCTATAGTTGCTATGTCGGTTTGTACTTAAGCTTGCAGCAAAGTGCGCCTTGGAGCAAGGTCATAAGCCGAACGCAAATCGAAGAAAAAAAAATCCTTGTCACAGTTGTCAATAATCTCAAAAAAAATTGCTTTTTGTGTTTTTGCGTCGATATTAATTTTGTACAACTAATTAACGAGTAGGTAAATTAGTAATGGACCTAAAATAAAAGTTGAAAAATCGGGGAAAAAAAACGGAAACGCAACGCAAACCGATTTTTTTTTTTTTTTAATAATATAGGTTATAATTTTTCAAAAGTGACAACGGTCTCGATTGTAACCCGAACGCAAAAGAGAACACTCTGAGAGCTAAAACGAACTTTTCGAACGCGTTCGGAGTTCACCGAGTGTAAAACCGAACCAGCCTAGCAATCGATAAAATGCTTGCGGTACTAGTTGTATTCCTTTCAAGAGTTTGGAACACTCGAGCTACTCGCTCCGGTGTTCAGTCGCCCCCGATTTCCTAAGGATTAGATCTGTGGAGCATCAAATACTTTTCGGAAGGAATAAGCGCGTGAAGCCCCGGAACTGTTCCGGAGCACCTCCTAGGTGTGAAAGGAATACAACTATTGTGCTACAGGTGCTACAGTGTTGCCGTTTCGCATTTACATAGCAGACTTGCATTTACAGAAATCTTTTTGACATTTTAAAAATTTAACGGTTCAACGGTTTGAATTTCGGTGAGAAGGTGGGAATTTTGACTTCTATGTGTTCAAGCTATGAATCAATGAATCCTGACTGGAAATGTTCTAATTGAAGAAGGTGATATAGTTGTAATCACGATAGAAAGTGAAGTTGACACTTCGCGTGGACATTTCTAGTAAACTTTTTCTTTAGAGCCGTTTTACACGGCAAAGTTTCTTCACAAAATTATTCACGAAATTATTGCCGAAATATTACGTAAGTTCTTGGTTTCGCTTTTTCCTGTTTGACACGGCAAATAAAAGTCTAGCAAAAGTTTCGTGAAAATATTAGTCATACGCAGGCGCAGTTACGTTTTGCCATCAATAATATCAAATCATAATGAACTTTACCGCATAGTGTGCGGTAAAGTTAACTTTACAGCATTGTTTGCGGTAAAGTAGAATCAAAGTGTGCGGTAAAGTGCACTTTACCGCATAGTGTGCGGTAAAGTAGAATTTGATATTTATAATCAAAAATTCTCTCTTTTTCAGAAAATGGATTTTTAATCATTTCTAATAAATCTTATCTAATTTCATTAATTAATCTGATTCATTAATTAATTTTATAAATGCCTTTTTTTTGGAGATGTAGATGCTCATAGGTAAAATTTTGTACCTAACACATGCGGAAAGTGCCTTTACCGCCCTTAACGGCTTGACCGAACTCCGCTTCGCGTCGTTCGGTCAACTGGGTAAAGTATCACTTTCCGCATTTGTTAGGTAAATAACTATTACATAGTTGACACGTTGTCTACATTGTCTACATGACTACATTGTCTACACGTAAAGTAGACAATGAAAGTCTACGTGTAGACGCACATCCCTGATCTCTACTCGTTACAGAGTCCTAGCCGGGCAACCTAAGAGCCGTTTTACACGGCAAAGTTTCTTCACGAAATTACTTACGAAATTGTTGCCGAAATATTTCACGAATAAACTTTAGAAAATGTTCTATAGTTTTTGTGGGCGTGGCCGAAAATATGCGTGAGTTTCGGCGCACACTAAAAGGCAGTTTCTTTTTCGTGGAGCCTATGAGCCGTTTTACACGGCAAAGTTTCTTCACGAAATTACTTACGAAATTGTTGCCGAAATATTTCGTAAGTCAACTTTTCTTGTTTTACACGACAAGAAAAACTTACGAAATATTTCGCTAATAAACTTTCGAAAATGTTCTATAGTTTTTGTGGGCGTGGCCGAAAATATGCGTGAGTTTCAACGCACACTAAAGGCAGTTTCCTTTTCGTGGAGCCTATGAATGCGTCATTGAATTTCCTATGTAATAGATAAGGATAGACTGCTCATCGGTGAACAAAGTAATGCACCCAAAAACAGCTGGGCAAATAAAAAAAATAAACAAACTTTATATATATAGGAAAAAGCGAAACCAAGAATAGTAAACTTACGAAATATTTCGGCAATAATTTCGTGAATAATTTTGTGAAGAAACTTTGCCGTGTAAAACGGCTCTAAAGAAAAAGTTTACTAGAAATGTCCACGCGAACTGTCAATTTCACTTTCTATCGTGATTACAACTATATCACCTTCTTCAATTAGAACATTTCCAGTCAGGATTCATTGATTCATAGCTTGAACACATAGAAGTCAAAATTCCCACCTTCTCACCGAAATTCAAACTAAAAAACCTGGTGGAACCGGAAGATGTTATAAACCGGGCAAGACACCGGACACCGGTAGGGTTGCCACCTTTCCGGGTTTTCACATATGGTCGCCGGGCTTCGGGTGACGAGGTGTTTCCTCCGGGTAAAACCGCATTTAACAAAAAAAAACGCATTTAGCAAAAAAAAAATGTGAGAATAATTCTTATGTTCTGGAAAAAAAATAAGATTTAGCAACAGCGCAATACTGTTCCTGCTCTCCCTCAAGGATATTACCAAAGTTTAATATTACACACTACTACAGCATTGCTCATCGGCCTCGATTTTTGCAATCAAGGTCATTGTTGCACCGTTGGCGACGTCATCAACGGTGTCGTTAACTGTTTGCGCCAGCAGTCGTAGGTAGTTTAGAATATATATTTATGATTAAAGCTAAGTCCTCATAATCGCGAACTTTTTTTCTGTGGAATTGTTCCTATTGGTCCAAATTATTAAAAATTATAATGGCGGGAAAATCTCGCGAATGTTTCAACTTCTTGCGCCATCGCAAAAAAGTTGAAATAACTTAACTTTTTGACGAATAATCTGGGAAGGAGTGAGGTTATGCTAGCTTATTCGCCAAAAAGTTAAATTATTTTTAACTTTTTTGCGATACCGCAAGAACTTGAAAATATTCGCGAGATTTTGAAAAAAGTTCGCAATTCGCGATTATGAGGACTTAGCTTAAAAATATTATTTAATTTTGAATAACATAATAGGCAAAGAGGAATAAGATGCAAACGAGATCTAAAAAGGGTTGTTTTAGAATGTTGCTTGTACTAAAACCAAGTATGCGTAAAGCCAAAGTCAGCGGAATCATAGCCTGTGGTGCAAACACTCTACGTCTAGGCGAGGAACTATACGCTGTGTACGTCATCACTGGTACTTTGGCGTAAAGGAGGCTTGAAATTTGATCTACAGAGGCCATATGCGGATAGGCTATCCTATGGTTGTCCTATCCGGTGTAAGGTGTAATATCAATAATATCATTGGATCTCCCTCTCCAACCGTCTTAACTCTTAATCTGAAGCATCATCCGGTGATGCCAGGGAGACTTGTGTATAGATAGATTGTACCTAATGCATCTGTTAATCAGATTTGTAGGATTTTAGGTTTTTTTTTTCTCCGTTTCAACTTACTTTCAAAGGTGGCATCCCTAGACACCGGTCAATTTAGAAACGGTTCGATTTTAGCCGCTTTCCAGCTGTGTGCTTCAAGCACGGTGCAGCACAGTGTTCTGTGTTTGAAACGCAAAAGTTAGCAGGCTCTCGAAGCGCAGTACGGCTGGAACATGAACACGCGCTTGGAGCATTTGCGCGCGCAAAAGCTCGATTGCGTGCTCAAAAGCGTCAGCTGGAAAGCGGCTTTTGTTAACCGGCTAATTTTGAAACGACCCGGTGCAGACCGGACAAAACCGGTGGATTCACCACTCAAATCTGAAAAACGCCCCAAATGAAATTTTCAACCGACTTGACATCCGACATCTGACGCGACCCGACCGTCACTCAACTCTCAACGGCCTCAGCGCCTCAGCTCAACGAATTGTCAGAAAAATTTGAATGATTAATATTTTGTTTAATTAATTTGATGATGATTACAATCATCAATAAAGTTTTCATTATTACTTAAATCAGATCAAGGTTTATATTTCTTTTTTATCAATAAATAGTGTGTTCGCGATGCCACGAAGCAAAAGTCGTGATCGGAAGACTAACAATGACCAAAATGCCAGTCTATCTACTAGAAGTCCCGGCGTTCTTCAGCTGGAGCTAGGTATGTTGTTTTTTCATGTAAAACAAGCTGATCCATCGAAGTTGTTAAAAATCAAAACCAAGCAGGTTCTCTGGGCTTGTTTTTCAACTCCAAGGGCTAGAATTCATGGTATGGTACCAGTTGTATATTTTGTAAAGTACCCACTTGTTCTTCAACGAAGTTCAGGAACTGGAACTACAAAGATGCGACTGGTCACTGGCAAAACATCTATATTTCAAATTCCTCTAGCTAGATGAAAACAAGCCCTTTTCGGTTTAGTCATGTACGTCCCTAAAGCTAGCAGTGCAAAGATTTTATTTTATTTTTCTATTTATTTATTTACTTCAAATCAACAATATATAAATTTACAATAATTGATAACATGTGTTGTGAGCATACAAATGAACCTAAAGGTTTGTGTGTGTATGCTGTAAGAAAAACTATGTATATATGCAGATTGGCTCAAGATCATTATAAAAAACAAAAATAAATAATAATATGCTATTCTAAGTGAAATTACAATGTAAAAAATCACAATTATCATGACCAAACTCAATAGCGGAATAAGTATTAATTTATTCTCAGAGATCCAGGAATAGGGTTTCCAATCCAGGATCCCGAAATCCCAAGATCCCGGAAGATTTTTCATCCCGAAAATCCAGGGATAAAAAAGTCTGGATCGCGCAAATCCCGATTTTTTTTTAAATGATCGTATTTCAATCTGCTTTATTCCTTTTTTTTTATCCGAGTGTTATCTAGCTTTACCCTGGTAGTTTAGGTATGTTATAGGTAACAGCAGATATCGGAAGTGGGAATCACTCCTAAATTCCTGTATGGCGTGGCGCTCAGTATTATACTTCTTTACCGAGGGGGGGCCGCCCAGGGCGGCATGGTCCAGGGGCGGCAAATTCGCAACATACAACAACAAAAAAAATAGGGAATAAAACCAAACGACTTAAAAAAAAAATGGTGTCCAAATTTTGAACAATCAAAAGTGCAAGGTCAGGTCATGGGCATTTCAACTTCTTATCTTATGTAATCTCCATTTACTACAAAAAACTTCATCAGAAAAGTTATTGCAATATTACAAAAATTTAAAACATGTTCTCATGCATAAAAATTGTTTCAATGCGAATGCGGCAGAATTGGCTGATAAACTACTTGTAAAAATCTACATTAGATGAGCCCAACAAAAACCTTATTGATGTCACAGATTACTTACATACAGATGCGAAAGAGCAGCGAATTCGTGGTTCAAGATTAATTTGATAGACATAGGCTGGCCGCACCAATGCCACATCAATGTATTTTGAACATACATATTTATTATATAAATGCGGAAGCTCAATAATATAATATTATTTCTTTAATTGGTTCACAAACAGCAAAAAAATATTTTTTCTACTTGCGTGCGCAAAGTAATCACTTTGCGCTCACTTTGCGCAAAGTCCAACTTTGCGCACGGAAACTCTTTGCGCACTCATTTTTGTTACACATAATTACCATAGTTATAAGTGATTTTCCAATTTTTTGATGGTTTCTGAATAAACTAATACTCAAAATGAAAGGTTCTAGTTGAAATTAGCGCTTAGTTAACATGATGACTATTGTTTCTTATCATGGGTGTCCAAATGGGACCAGCCTATACTGCTAGAAATTTGTAGAATTTTTGATATTTAAAGAGACTGTCATGAAAATATTCTAGCTGGTATTCTAGAAATTCCAGAAGATGTTAAAAGATTTTTGGGGGTTTAATTTAAAAGACATTCTGAGGAATTCCAATGGATTTTAAACGATTTTTGAAGATTTTGATTTGATTGATTTTTCTAATATTTTAACCATTCAAAGTCTACTTTTTTAAGATAGAAAAAATATTGTTCCTAACACTTGCGCAAAGTGTCTTTTCCGCACTCAAAGCTTATCAGAACTCCGCTTCGCGTCGTTCGTCTAACTGCTTTTTCGTGCGGGAAAGTATCACTTTGCGCACTTGTTAGGATAATAACTATTTTTCTACCCGCAAAAATATGTAAACACACAGACTGGAACATGCTCACGCACTCGGCCACGTTAATTGTCCTGACGCGGGCGATCTTTATCTATGCGTGGGGCCGCCCCGCTTCGTCACAGAATATCGTCGACAGCAAGTATACGTACTTACGCATCTGTATTAGGTGATCTGTGTTGATGTGGTAAAATTAGCAGTCCAACTGGATATTGCACGGAATGTTGTTGTAGCCCGCAGGAGACCCTCAGAATAGGGCTATCAGGCCAGCCCCCCCCCCCCAGGCCATTCCTCAAAACTGTATTTTCACGTTTAAAAATTTAGCAACATCAAGGCGTGGCACCCTGACACCTCAATTTTTTTTGAAGATTTTCAGTTACAAGCCACAACCTATATGTAGGGACCCCCAAACATATTTTCTGGATGCGCTACTGCTAGGGCTTGTATTCCGTCACCGGGCAACAGCGAACTTTCAAGAGAACGATTGCTTTAGTAGTAGTAGTACACATGCTTTATTGTCCAAGAAACTCTAAATCTTATTGACAAAGCAAACTTAATTTAAAACACTTAAATCTATTCATTATTAAAATTACGAATAAAGTATCTACATATAAAAACACTCAGAGTAAAAAAAAGCAAGAACAATAGAAAAACAAAAATATCTGACAAGTGATAGCTTCATATTTCTCAACAAATAGATAAAAAGCTATGATAAAAAAAAGATTTTACAGAACTTACTTGTGATACTTGTGAGGCTTCATGTTATTTTAAAGAAGATAAAAGCCTGTTGTTTGGATATCATTGTAACAGGTGCAATAAAGTTTCTTGTAAATTATGTAGTGGGATTTCCGCACAAGAAATTCGATGCTCTCTAGCACAGAGAAAGATGGTATTGGTGTGGTGCAGAGACTGCTTAGATCATTATACAGCAAACGAAGCTACTAACAGAGATGATATTGTCTCAGGTCTAAACCTTGATCAGTTCAAAAACTGTATTGGTGCCGCAGTCAATGAAGCAGTATCTAAAGTATTCGAAACTTTTGAATTAACCATAAATAACAAACTAAATATGGTGTCTCAAAAAATTGATGATTCCATGAAAGAACTGGTTGAAAGTTTGATGAATCAACAGTCCAATGGGATAAAGCAGGGTATTGATTCTGCATCGGAATGTGTTTCAACAGATTCTATTGCAACAGTCCAATGTGGAAAGCCCCCCATGCCAAATGGCTTAGACATTCAATTTGCAATCAATCACAATCAGGACACAAATCGTGTAACAGCTAGTCAAGTGTCGAGAGCTATAAATCAGGTAATGATTGAGGTTAATGATAAAAACAATAGCGAAGACTGTTTTTCACGTGATTTTCCTCATACTCTGGGTCAGAGAGAGGTTGAAAGCAGACATAGCACACAGTCAATAGTAAATAATCAAAATACTTTGTATGGCAACCCACCTAGTAGAAATAACACTAACATATTGATAAACTCTCAGCCCTGGCTAAAGCAATTACCAGCTAATACTAATAGTTCACAGTTTGGGGTTCTTCCAGGACATAATAATATGTTAAATATGAGTACAATGACTGGTGCTATGAATCAATCCATACTTGCAACTCAGCAGAGGTCAGGGACCCTGATTGGCACTGGTCAGTCAATTGAGGCATTGAAAATTGTTCCGTTCTCCAATAGATCCTGGCTGTACGTGGGTCGTTTCTCGGAAGAAGTTAGTGAAGATGTGGTGCATGAATTTGTGCAAAATAAACTTAAAGTGGATGATAGCAATCTTTCTGTTCAGAAGCTGGTGGTCAGAAACAGGATGAAATCTTTTAAGCTTGGTATTGCTAAAAACTACTTTGATACTATCAATGATTGTAACTTTTGGCCTCGTGGAGTGGTTTTTAAGGAATTTCAATTTAGACCACGGCAGTTTAGAAATGAGGGAGTGAAGCTGGATTCACAATTGAATGACAGGCAAGATAGAACACCTCGAAATGATCGACCATCAAATTTTGTTCAGGAGACACATATTCTGGCAACAGGGTAGCTCTAACAGGCTACTATCAAAATGTGCGGGGGTTGAGAACAAAACTAACCACCCTTATGTGCAATATTTCCACGGAAAACTATGATTTTGTGTTATTTACTGAGACTTTCCTGAATAAAGACATTTTGTCGAGCGAATTGGGAATGAGTAATTACTTAATATTTCGCTGTGATCGTTCTGATAGAACCAGTGTCCATAAGTCACAAGGGGGTGTCATGGTTGCAGTGAGGAAGTCTCTTAATTGTAGACAGATATCTACTCAATTTGAATCAGTGGAGCACATTTTTGTACTGGTTTCTTTGAAAGAGCATCATATTTTGTTGGGCAATGCTTATCTGCCCCCAGATTCTCCTATAGACTCCTATGAAAGTTACTGCTCATCCGTAACAGCTGCGTTGGAAATATGTAGTAGTTGTCAAAACTTGGAAATCTATTTATGTGGAGATTTTAATAGACCGGATGTGTCCTGGATCAATGATTTGCATGGGACTAGGGCTATTGGTAAACAATCTGAACAAACCACAGAGTTGGCTGACTGCATGGCTTTCCATAGCTTATATCAAGTGAATAATATTTCTAATATTTATGGCAACTTTCTGGATTTGATATTTTGTAGTAATAAGGATGTATGTACCTCAATATCAGCCGATCCACTTTTGAATTTGGACACACCTCATCCTGCTTTGGTTTTTGATGTATTAATTTCAAATAATAATTCTGATAAGTTGGAGTATGATTATTGTTTTCTGGATTATAAGAATTGTAATTTTAGGGATTTAAATGTTTATCTGTCTTGTGTGGATTGGGACTCTTTTGTTGATATGGATGATATAAACTCTGCTGTCGATACTTTTTATAATCAAATTTATCATGCTATTGAGATCTTTACACCCATTTCAAAAAGAAAAACAGCAAAATTTCCAGGATGGATGGATAGTCATTTGAAATGTTTGATTTTGTCTAAAAAAAAGG